TTAAATATATATATATATATATATACACACACACACACACACACACACACACAAACATATAATACAAATTAATAAATTACAATACAAATAAAATAAATTAATAATAAAATATATATAACTTATTTAAATAATTAAATATATTTAAAATGTAATTTATAATTTATAATTATTGTTTATTAGATGATATATATACATATATAAAATAAATTAAGAATTAACAAAAAGTAATGAAAAAGATACAATATTAATGTATATATTATATATATTTAAATTGTACCTATAAATTCTAATTATTTTTAATAATATTTTTAATTATTTGTTATTTAATTATTATATATACATACAGAAATATATTTAAAAAAAAATATATATATATACTATATTTATTTATTTTGTTTACATTTGTAACAATGGTTCAGGCTATACATTCATACTTATTTCTTTTCGTCTTCATTTTAACTTTATGTCCAGAAGTAAATGTTTAGACAGTTGTAAAATATGTTTGAGTGGGCGGGGCTGTATTGAGAGGCAGCGTTTGATTGGCTGCGGCTGATGTGAGGTTGTTTGTGATTGGTTACCTCCGTCTGCACCATGTTGACCCTGCGGGACCGTAGTTCCCTCACGCAGTTGTAAATGTCCACCACTCCTTCCCGCTCCGCCATGTCCAGCATGATGTCGATGACGATGAAGCAGCCGGTGCGTCCCGCTCCAGCACTGAGGACCAGAACAACAGCTGTTTGACGTGTTTAACAAAACACACAATGTTTTAGTGAAGATGAGACGGATTTTCACCTGCAGTGGATGACCATTGGGCCGGCGTTGGCAGGACTCTTGGCTTTGACCCTGCGGACGAAGCCCAGCAGCCCTGTGGCGTGATACGGGACGCCGTGATCCGGCCAGCCGGTGAAATGAAACTGCCGGATCTCCCTGATCTCATGAGCTCCTCTCTGGAGACCACAAACATGCTGATACTGAGACCCACACCAAACAAATACTGCTCTGAGAACAGACTCAAACCCTCTGAACACAAACACAAACACCCACACACACAAACACACAAACACACACACACACAAACGCACACGCACTCACACACACACACACACACATATGATATTCACATATTCACAGCTCTTCATTCTCCAGCACATTTAAAAGACATGGAATCAGAATGCAGTGTGTGACCAAACAGCAAATAAAAAATACATACATTAAATAAAATATAAAAACAATAATAAAAAAGTCATTTTGATTGTGCTATATATAATAGCTACAGTTTTGAATAATTTTAAATAATATTTTCAATTATTTATTATTATATATACACACAAAATTATAATAAATAAATAAATATACCTTTTTTGTTTCATTTAACATTATAGCTATTTATAACAGCTATAGAGACATATAGCTATAGAGACAATACTAAAACAATAATAAATGATAAGATGTGTTTTGTGTTAAGACTGGAGATTGTGAACAGGACACAGAGTCAGTTATGATCAGCGTCATAATTTGAGGTTTATAGTTTGATTGTAATCAGTAATGGAGTTAGAAGCCGAACCTTTTCCACAGCGAAGGTTCGAATGACATATTCAGACAGCAGCTGAGTCTCGATGAGCGTCACCTTCATGTCCCTGTAGATCTCAGTGTCGTCGGGCCAGTACTTACAGCACTTCACCTGTCAAACACACACACACACACACTAATTTTAAATAATATTTTCAATTATTTATTATTTTATCATAATATTATTTTATTATATAACACACACACACAAGCGCGCACACACACACACAATAAAAATCTAAAACAAATATACAACTTATATAAATAATTAAATATATTTAAAAAGTAATTCTAATTTTAAATATAATTATTAGATTATTTATATACATATATTAAAAATAAAAA